CTTCGGTATAAAATAAGAATCGAATAATTTCCAGAAATCCCCCCATACCAATATATATAATCGTAGTTCAAAAATGTGACGATATGATTACTTACCTATGATCGGGTCACCCCATACATAAACCAAATATTATAAACACTTGTCCTCAACCCGTTACCTTGTTTTTAATTTGCATATTCATCGTTCTCAATCCACATAAATGTCGTATAATGACTACCCTGAAAACATTTCTCTTATTACACATTATACACACACGACTTTATTGATATTACTATCCCAATGAACCTGACATAACACTTCTCCCATTATGCGTTATATTCACATTGTTTGTTTTATTAGAGTTTTGTAATTCGAAGCCTTACAATGAATTTTTCTATCTTTTTGTTAAATGGCCTTTCAAATCTACAAAGGACGCGATTTGGACGTATTTAAGTCGTAATTGATGCAAAGTTTACTACTGCAACCTCTGACATTTTCCACTTCACTTATTAATGTATACCTTCTTTTAAATTCACAACTGTAGAGCTCCTGATGATGGAGCTATTGTAAACATTGGTTCACTAAAATATCCCTTATTTTTGAATACTCAATGGATTTGTTTAAACGATTATATGGAAATCTCAAACCTACCCTATATGTATGTATATGTCTGCATGTTGCAGGTTCTTACCCACAATATCTGTCTAATAAACAGAGTACACCAAATGTTTATTACCGTCTTGAATAAATGCTTCCACTTAGTTTATCACCAATTTGTATTCTTCTATTCTAAATGGCATTATCATTAAATAAAACCTTATGTAAACAAATTAAAATCAGGTAACAAACTAAGTAGTAGTATAGTAAGATAAAAGTTCATTGTGACAGATGTAAAACAAAAAACAATTAGGTATTTTAGGAAATGTTTCTAAACTAACTAAAGATAAGTAGTAGAGATATATATTCTAGTTCATGATCTATTGAACAATCTAACATGAACAATTCAGCTTTTACTTTTCACAATAACGTTGTTGTTATATGTTGTACTCGAATCAGATTTTTGGACAGTAAAGATATGGCAGTAATAAATGTCAAGTTCAATCAATTATTTGCTTAGTGGGTCACTATCACAATTATGATTATTAATAGTAGTAGTAGTAGTATTTTAGAGAGGGAAAAAACTGATAAAGAAGGGACGGAACCAAACTAAAATATGAAAAATGTTCTAGCTGACCTATTTACTATGCACACACGTAACCATACAGATGAGAAAAAAATGTTCGAAAGACACAATTAAAATAAAGCATAGTTATTTACAGTATTTTGTAACAATTCATATAGGTAGGTAGGTAGCTTATGGAAATGTTCCGATAAGTTAAACTAGAGGACGGATAATAGGACCGAGAAAAAGAGCGAACAAGTGATTCAGCCAAGGGATCTATTTTTAGTCACTGTCATTCTTGAACCACTCTTTGTATTGAGTTCCTGAGACATTTGTGTACAAATTTTTAAACTCTGTTTAGAGCCATTTAATTAATAAGAGTAACGTTTTTTTATTTATTTTTGTTTCTTCGGTACTATATTGAGAGTTCATTCCATATCCGGTGTAACAGTTATCCGCCTGCGACTGTACAGCCTAAAAAGAGATCTCTTCACTGAAATATCACTTTTTTACGTTCTAATTAGTGTTCCGTGTTTAATGAAAAGTGTCGAATTTCAAGTAGAATGTGACAAGTAAATAAAACTGAAAAAATGTCTATTTAAGTTACATGCGAACAACAATTTAAAAGCATTATATCATACATTACAATGATAAAAAGGTGGAAATTTGTTACCTAATGATTATAAATATTGATAAAAACATCTCTAAGATATATTCGTGTAAGATAGTACGACATTATTAAAAGAACTGTACTGTTTCACATTTTTTTGTCGCTTAAGAAGCGATTGACTCACCCCTAAAACATCTCCACAAATCTCCATTCTGATATATTTATGTACCCAGAACTCCCTAACAGGACGGTAACTAATGCTAACACAATATAATTAATACAATACCACAAAAGAACAAGTATAAAAATTCGAGTGGAACAACATGAATTCATTTTATTTCGTCAGACTGTCTTCAGCTACTCACAATATGTAATGTTTCAAAAAAAAAATTAAAATTACAAAGAGAGTTAAAAATATTAATACAAATGAATTTGTTCGGAATTTGTTTTAAATATGTATCAGCATAATATAATCAAGATTTAAGCAGATTTAGGAGGCTAAATAATTGTATAACAAATAAATTTATCAGAAGGGGTTTTGTGGAGATTGTAGTAATTTAAACAGTTGAGATCATGAGTCAATTGAAGCTAGACCACCATGGAAAACCTGGAAGTACTGGATGGCCATTTCGTCCTACTGTGGGACTTCCCAGCAGTGCGCATTCACGACCCCGCCTCGCGGGATTCGAACCCGGGACCTTCGGTCTCGCCCTCAAATCTTTGTTCTTGCTCTCTTCAAGATAATAAAGGGAACTATGTGTATTATGGTACAATACTATAGACTAAATTCTGATAAAAGATTTACTTGATCGAAATATCACTCTTTGATTCTGAAAATATCATCGAAATGCCCTAATTATGTAACTTAGGTGTTTCATTTTTCGCACAGCATACACTTAACATAGTTCTTGTAAACAAATTGGATGTTTAAGATTCTTGGATGTGCATTGTAAATCATTATTTTGTACACTTCTTACAAGGTTAACATAGAGCTACATGTTTTTACACAATATACGGAGCTGTCATTATTATTATTATTATTATTATTATTATTATTATTATCATTATTATTATTATTATTATTATTATTATTATTATTATTATTATCATTATTATTATTTATAACTGATGCTTACATGCGTACTACTTACAGAGCTCCACTTACAATGTAATACTAGTTTACCAATAATTTGTTGTATTCTTATTCTGTCCGTTTAATTGTTTTCAATCAACTTTATACTGTTAAACTGTACTTTTCCATCAATGATTCACCTTAACCATTTACTGGTATTATTATTATTATTATTATATGTAGTACATTCAGACTTGATTATTGACCATTATAGTACGATAATAATATTATTAGTCTATGGATTATGTATGGCCTACATATTGCATCAGACTTCTGCACAAAACAATCTTGAATATTGATTTGCACTAAATGGTGAATCTAAATTAAACCAATATAATTTGATGTTATTAAAAACATCATTATATACGCATCAGTCATATTGCTCCATAATGTCACTATTATAGTCAATACTCGTTATATTGTCCTTTCATTAAAAAATATGTGTAATAATGATATTAGTAATAATAATAAAATTTGCTGAATAATATGTCAAACTATTTTTCATCATCCGAACTTTGGTCTTTCTCTGTCGTGATATAAGTTTTTTGTTCTATGCGGAAGCTTAGTTTAAATAATGTGATATATTTATCCACTAATCAACTAATTGTAAATATCTCATTCCTGCAAGAGGTTAGTCTTAGTCTAAACCAAATACCACAGTCGTAACATATCAGACTTTGAAACTGGGCAACTCGTGTGTAAATCCATCAGGGAGTGTAGGTTCCCTAAAGATTGTAGGTGTATTTTACTGATAAATTATAACTAACACGAGACCTAAGTCGAGCAGGGTTTCCTGCCTATCACCTCCAGCCACCTAACATAATGATATATCTCTAGCACAGACGAAAATAGAGTTGTGGCAATCTTTAAACCCGATATCGATTGAGGAGTACTGTTAAGTAATATGGAGAAGGTCGCAGTAAATAAATGTTTCGTACTAGATTTCGGGGATTCCTTTGTGTGTTTTGGGAACCCAAGATAGTAGCGGGAACCAAACTCACAGTCTCATGCTTTTAGTTTTGCGGATACTATCCCTTTATATAACTGAGTCCAAATTCAATAGATTAACATTTTCGAATTTATTGTTATGCTATGATATATTTTAACTAGTTAATCAGTCCTTCCAATAAGTTGTTTGGTGTAAAATGAAGAAAATTCGTTTTTCTAACAAATATTCTTCAAACTGAAATTTTTAGCTGTAGGAACGATGGTTTAAATACTGTTTTATTTCAATCCGAAACAAGACATGTGTAATAAAACAGTATGAACCGATCCTTCATATAAGATTTTACTTTTGTCGAATTCTTAATAACATTTAAATTGCCTAGTGTTTTATTTAATGTAAACAGTGATCTAATCGTAAAAGCACATGGTTTTTAACCACAGAGTTGTAGATTCAGATCTCATCCCTGTGTTCTTGATTCGAATAGATGCATAGTATCATCAGCCTTTATACAAAGAGTATGGTTTGTAACTGAATGTTCAAACTTGTACTTGGTCACTAAGTTGTAAAACTTAAAGGTTTATTCACCAACCTCCCTACCCAGTTACAACAATAATGAATCATACTAACTTTTTTTGTAAGTTTAATATGATTAAAGTAACATAGTACTAGCTAACTTTTATCCACTGAATTCATACATTACCAACCATACTACCTATTAATTAAACTGTTGCAGGGTGCCATCATCTGATAGGATAAGTAACTGTAAGAATATCACGATGGTTCACATTTCTAACTTTAGTCTATTTCCTCGTACCATGAATGTCTTAGAAGCTCGAATCTTTGTTACTGTTTCATAGCTTCAAACTGTTAGGTCGAAACAACAACTGCCCAAAATCATCATATGGTCCTTAATAGTTGTTCAATCGACTTGTCAGTTGATAGTGAAAACTAATTAAACTTACCTCTTTCAGCAATGTGTGTTTAAAATTCCAATAAAAGTAACGCTTCCATTGATATTTCAACTCTCTTCACTAAGCTCTTGTGCTAAGTGGATTGTTAGTGCTGAATTACTAACTATCGGTTTTTTTCATAATAAGTCTTGGTTTGTATTGCTAATTTTGTATGTCTAATAAAATTCTTTTCATGATATATATATTATTTATTTTTGTAGGAGTTCATCATCAGATCCGATTCGCTCTATCCCCGTACAATATTGTGAATCTTCAATGAAAACCGGTTTAGGTTTGATGTATGTGTATAAATTCCTGAATATACCATTTTTATGTCTACAACGTGATGTACTACAATATCAATTGAAACGTAATTATGACGAAATGATCCATGTTTTATATGAGTTAAGTCCAAAAACTGATAATCAGACACCAGAACAACGGTAAGTGTTAGTTTTTATTCTTTTGATGGAGTAATATGATTTTCTCTGTCAGCCTCAGTCAGGTAGTTATACACAATATAGTTTTTAACATATGTATACATCAGTTCAAGTTGCCACAACACATCGAGATACTCGAGTAATATAAGTAGTATCAGTATCAGTGATAGTAGCCAAGATTAGGTATAGAAGATATAGTTCGAGAAGTAGGCAGTCGTCAAATATATGTAGTGTATATACCAACCACCTCGTTCGATGAAGATTCATTTACTCATCAACCAATTCTCCATCCCTACCTAGTAGTACCCTGGGTCTAACTTGCTCATTCTGTGATCCCAAACATATACAAGCAGTGCGTCGAAGGCATCTGTAGCCAATATATTCGTAATCTACGAATATCCTCTATTTTGAAGACCACAAGCTCATCTGTTTTTCTCAGTATAGTAATATGATTTCAAGGGAATCTTGAGAAAAGTACCTTCAACTTCTTTAATATGTTTTATCTTCTTTCGGTATTTCAATATCATTTAGTTAGTCAATTATAAATAACTTGTCAGAGTATACGTAGTAGATATCCACCGCAATCAATGGAAATTGAAAACCATTACCTAGTATCGTACAACCAACTTCAACATTTCTCACTTAAGGCGAACAATAGTTCGAAGGTACCTGTGATCAAAAACATGAAACCTACGTATGGTTATTACTTTCTTAAGCTATGTTTAACAGCCTTTGAGCATTGTAAAGCAGTTTCCCTAAAATATTTTAAGTATTAACTTCATGAAGCAAATTATGCAACGTAACGGTATTTGATATTAAGTGGTTAGAAGTAGTCGGGAAGAAATTCTACTCGACCAAGGTTTCATTATAGTTGTCACTAGTCAATAACTTTTTACCAACCAAATGAAAAACAATACAGTAGTCAATATCAACAACACTGTTTTCAGTACTATGTACGCTTACATTTACATTTTAATAGATTGCTATTAATACTAGGTGTCGACAATACAAACACATACGTACATATACACTATCCTAAATTAGAGGTATTGTTGTGTTTTGTTTTTCCACTTTTGAAATTTCACTAAACACATTGAACGTTTAAAAAAAGGAGGAATAAGGTGGACAATTTCAATAGAGTTTAATAAAATCAATTTTCTTATTGTTGTTGCTCTCTTAAAAATTAGTTGTTTTATTCTTCACACAAAAAAAACACTTGATGTACATACACAAGCAAATTAAAGAAATTTAGCCCCGTTCGTTTGTTTTGTTTTTTTACTTCACCTTTCTATGTTTATTTTCTTTTGGAATTGTGTATATGTATATTATATATGTATGTATGTGACTTCACTTTCTTTATTCAGTTTTTTTTCCTAAATAGACAGGAAATCGTCTATTATGAAACAAGAAAGCAATAATATTTTTTTCTTTATAAAATACGCCAACTAACTACCACAGTTGCAATCTTCCTATTTCTTCCCATTTACGAACGAATTCATAAATCATCATAATTTTGCTTATAAAAGCTGGTTATACTGAATTCTAGATGGCAATATCTTAATAATTGTTTTGTATGGTGTAACGTCCTATTCTTTAATTGATGCGTAGATTGGGAAAATGAATTTCTATCACGGATTAACCATCAAAAACCGGGGTGCTACTAGATAAGTCCGTTATTATTATTTGGAACTTCAGCAGTAAGTGTTCATGACTCTCTGAGACGAATCGAGCTCAGTATTACCATCAGGCCTCGAGAGGTGAATGCATTATCATTAAATCATAGAATTGAATTTACTTGATCCTAATGTATGGACTAGTTTGCTCATTAGTTTCTCCTAGTCTGCTATGAGTCTTTTAGGGGCAGTCAAATCACGAAATGGAACGAGTCCATAAGGTCATTGACTATTGATCTGAGCCATGTTGGTAGGTGGAGGCTATCTGGTTGGGGTCCGCTTGATTATCGTAGACAATTTTATTTATTTAAGCATATAAACACTGGTACAATGAGTCACCAGATATATGTGTGCCACTCAAGCAGGTTGTTGAACTCTCCAATAATGTAACCCACTGTTATGTGCGATATGTCTCAGCTCACAGTGGATAATATTCGATTCAGGATGCAATTAGCTCAATAACGAGTGAGAGTAGAACAAGGAGTGTGTGTGTAGCAGTGTATTTGAGAACAACCACAAGTGTGTCACGCTATGTAGTTACACAACGGAAAGTGAGTTCAAGGTCATTTACTACAATAACAGTTACAGTCATTTAATGATAAATATACATGCAGTGAAAGATTGACAAAATAAATACAAATAATATTAAAAACTATTTACAAAACAAGCTTGTCAGACCTATCTCCAAGCAAGTTCCAAGTGGCTAATAGAGAGTTCGAACATATGATGCAACTTGGTATTATTAGACCGTCTAACAGCCCGTGGGCCTCGCCACTACATATGGTACCAAAGAAAAATCAAGATTGGCGTCCATGTGGGGACTATCGCCGACTAAACAATCAAACCATTTCCGATAAGTATCCCATTCCGCATATACACGATTTTTCATTAAATCTACACGGCAAATGCATCTTTTCAAAACTTGACCTAGTACGAGCATACCACCAAATTCCAATGGCACCGGAAGACGTTGAAAAAAACAGCCATAATCACACCTTTTGGTTTGTTTGAGTTTCTAAGGCTGCCATTCGGACTGAAAAATGCTGCTCAGACATTTCAACGCTTCATGGACAACGTTACAAGAGGTCTAGATTTCGTTTTTGTTTACATAGACGATGTTTTGATTGCAAGTGCATCATTAGAAGAACACGTTCAACATGTACAGATCCTCTTTGATCGCTTTAAAAAAACAAGGTGTTATCATTAATCCTTCAAAATGTATATTCGCAGTCCCAGCCTTAGAGTTTTTAGGACATTACATTGACTCTCAAGGCATCAAACCACTCGCAAAAAAAGTTGAAGCTATCACCAATTACCCTGAACCAACCTGCATAAAGTCATTACGCCGTTTTCTCGGGACGTGCAATTTCTACCACCGATTCCTACCATGTTGTGTGGATGTGTTACAGCTGTTAACTGATTTACTGAAAAGTGACAAAAAAGGTACGAGGAAGGAAAAGAATCAAACATTCAGGCTACGTCCGGACGCCAAAACGGCATTTGAGAAAGCAAAGTCCTTGGTAGCCAACGCCACCATGTTACAACACCTCAATACTGACCCCACAACCCATTTGACCCTATGTACGGATGCCTCACAGAAAGCTGTCGTGGCAGTATTACAACAACAGGTAAATAACATGACTACTCCCGTAGCGCATTCTTCCAAGAGACTGTCACCAGCTCAGGAACGCTATAGTACTTTTGGACGGGAGTTACTTGCTATCTGCTTAGCCGTTTGGTAGTATGCTCGTACTAGGTCAAGTTTTGAAAAGATGCATTTGCCGTGTAGATTTAATGAAAAATCGTGTATATGCGGAATGGGATACTTATCGGAAATGGTTTGATTGTTTAGTCGGCGATAGTCCCCACATGGACGCCAATCTTGATTTTTCTTTGGTACCATATGTAGTGGCGAGGCCCACGGGCTGTTAGACGGTCTAATAATACCAAGTTGCATCATATGTTCGAACTCTCTATTAGCCACTTGGAACTTGCTTGGAGATAGGTCTGACAAGCTTGTTTTGTAAATAGTTTTTAATATTATTTGTATTTATTTTGTCAATCTTTCACTGCATGTATATTTATCATTAAATGACTGTAACTGTTATTGTAGTAAATGACCTTGAACTCACTTTCCGTTGTGTAACTACATAGCGTGACACACTTGTGGTTGTTCTCAAATACACTGCTACACACACACTCCTTGTTCTACTCTCACTCGTTATTGAGCTAATTGCATCCTGAATCGAATATTATCCACTGTGAGCTGAGACATATCGCACATAACAGTGGGTTACATTATTGGAGAGTTCAGCAACCTGTACGGAATTATCGAATATTTATAATGGTGGATTTACAATACCAGACCCAATCAGAACACGCAACACTTGGTGAATTTAAGTAAAGTCCATATTTTTATGTTGTATTAGAAACTATTAACATTATAATTTACTCTTTATAACTTGGTTAACACTTTCACGTTCATATTTGTGTGGTCCACTACAAGGTCATTGACTATTGATCTGAGCCATGTTGGTTGATGGAGGCTATCTGGTTGGGGTCCGCTTGATAATCGTAGCCAGTTTTATTTAATTAAGCATATAAACGCTGGTACAATGAGTCTCCAGATATATGTGTGCCACTCCAGCATTCGACTTATTTGAGGGTTGTGGTACCACTCGGGCACCCTAACCGAAACAGGAGGTTTCCGTAGAGAGCTACTCCGCAAACTTCGACCCATAGGTTTAATCCATAAGGCAGTGGTGTAATACCTAGGAAATGAAGTCCCATGGTAGACGGTGACCATGAATAGGTTCATATTCCATTTGTTTTTTCAGGATCATGGAGCTCTTATGCACCACTGATTTAGAATCAGGGTTCTCAACTCCCCTAAATAGATCCTCCGTATCCGCCAATCCTATTAAAGCGCCGGACAATCACTTTTCGTCCTCTCGATTTCTTAAGCAACAGTAATGCCACGAGAAGGCAGTGAGTAGAACCTCCCTAACAGTGGCTATATACGCGTGTGAGAGCATTTGGAGAGGGAGAGTTGACTCTCTCTGCCCTCATCCGTACTAGGGTATTTGGTGGCTATCCAACGGTTGGAGACTGTAGATGACATGTTTGAAAGTCTGTCGCGATGGTGCAGACGTATTCACTTTCTGTCTGCTCCTACATTTTATACTTTTCTGTTCCATAATTTCATTCTGTCTTCTCAAACCATATTTTTTATGCCTAATCTTTTCTATTATTATCAATACTGTTATTACTGTCTTGATAATTTCATATCTATTTTACTGAGATAGTATGACAACTCAAACTGATAAAAATATTTTTTCGCGCTCTATTTTTATTTTAACTGATTAAGTTTATGTAAATAACTTAATAGGTTTGACCTATTGTTAATATTCAATTAAATATTGTACATTCTTCCTGTTCTTTTGTTTTACTGTTACTAAAAGTATTATTAAGATAATACTGATAGACAGGTGTACTGAAGTTACTTTCTTTTCATATATATATATATATATAATGGTGTTTTAATTAATATAAGTATTCAATTGTCAAACACTCTATTCTATTGTGACATTTGATGATTGTATATAATAAGTGTTTAAAATCAATTGATTGAGCATTATTGGTTAAAGTTAACTATCTTAGATTTAACTGACTTTTTGTATTTCAACATGCCTGTTACGACTCTATCTATCATGCATAATGAATAAATCAACATTTTTATTATTTGGTTGTGAGTTATCATAGAATTTAAGACATAATTCGTTTAAATATCAGGAAGTTGCACGTTTTCTGATTCAAACTCTAGATATTCTTCAGTGAGTATACTATATTCTAATCCCGTCTGATCTGCCCTATGCTTTTGAGTTATAATCTTTGAAGATAAACTGACTGAATTTTGAATATCTAAGTACTGATTCAGCATGATACAACTTATAAGTGAGCAACTTCTAACGTTAGATCCGAATTTCTATATAGTAAATAACTTTGTAAATCTACACCATTCAAAAAGACTAAAATATGTGTTATGCATGTGAAATAACTAACAACCTGCATAAATATACTTAAGTAGATTACGACAAATGATATCAATCTATCAAGTCATCAAATGTCAACCTTAGGTTAAGTGGTACACCTCTTTTAAATGGGGAGTCTCAGTTAGTATGATATGTAACATTAGTATAGGTTGATAATTATAAGTGGATTTTACAGTTTAACCAATAGAGCTTGTTTGAATTCAGTCTTTCTTGTATTAGTTTTTTTTCTTTATTTTAGTATGGTCAATTATTGTGTTCACTTTCATGAAATATTGGTAGAAGTAGCGATATATAAGAAATTCTTTTATTTTATCAGTTTTAGTTATATCGATTCTGGTCAGAAGAGAACAACTGATGAATCGTCATCATCACGAACGTGTTCTTCTTCTTTTTCTGTGATAAAAGAGAATGGCAAGTTAATCACATTTTGATTAGAAAAAAAGTAGTATATTCCATATTGTCTTTTAAATAGACTATCAACTATTCTATCTAATTCTTTACTGCTTCTATCTTTGATATTCTTCGCTTGTAATAATTGTCATGTGTATGTTCAACTAGAATTTTAACTCTCATGACGCCATAGTTCAATAAATGCGTATTGTTACGTAGTTTCTTATTGGGTTTTAGTTTTTGTAATCACTAACACTATTCCCTACTCTTCCTATAGGTCATTCCAAATTACTTGTTTCTTTTTCATTGCATTACGACATAAATGCTAACTATTCGATTAGTTAATTTGAAATTCAACGACGTAGAATTATTAATTCAAGCCAATTCATAGATTGCATTAAAGTTCAGATGGATGATTTTGATAGAGTTTGTTCTCTGAGCTGGATGGTATGGTGGTAGAGCTTTCATCGTTCTTCTGAACGACATCATCAGCACAAAATTCAGGTCGAAGTGAAGTGCTCGAATTCCTCCACATATGGCTCACAACTTATCCTGTAGACCTCGATGTTGATTGATTCTTGTTGACCTTAAACTTGTCTTTGTTTACTTCTTTATTTTCGTTGTATCTCCCATTGGTTTGATTTTTGGTCCTATGTTTGTCCATAATTTCTCTGATTGGTTGATAAATTAGATCGATTTCAATGTGCTTGATTGATTGTATTGATTTTGTTGGTTTGTGTGCTACACCTATTCCGAAAGGCTTCAACAATCTCGTAGTTTCTGATATGCCTTTTATATATATGGTAGGGTGATCCGTTTGTTGCTTTCTGTACTTGACTTCATTTCTGATGATGCGTTTGGTTTGTGTTTTTTGATGAATTTGATTGGATAGCCGTTCTTTTGAAAGATGGTCTTCAGGTGTTTTTCTTCACTTTTTCGTGCTGCAAGTGTGTTGCATTGTGTCCTCGCCCTCTTGAACAAAGTTTGTACGCAGTTGATTTTGTGAGCTCTTGGGTAGTTGCTACTTCAATTGAGAATTTGATCTGTGTCGGTCGGCTTCCAATATACTTGAACGAAACACTCATCTTGGATTCCACCGCTAGCCGCTATCCAAATCTGCTTATAAAACAAGTATACATCATTGTAAAATTCGTATAAAAGTGCTTAGGTTCAAATCGCCGGTCGTACATAGTGTAAACACAAAAGACTATATACAAGAACAATAAAACATAAAATTCTCAAGTGAAGAAAAGAATATGGATAAAATGAGAGTTATAAAAGGTCTTCAAAACTTCAGTCTAAGATAAGCGAATTTAGATTCACATGTTTATATGATCGATTCTGTGTTATATCACCTCGGATTTCCAACCACTAATACGACTAAAATAAGCAGTTACTCATAACTGAGTGGACTAGCTTAACTTCTTTATCAACTTAGTCCTACATAGCAAATTTATGCTAACTCACTTACTAGATATTTGGTTATGAGCCACACTCTGAGTAATTAATAAGGACTAATAACACTTCCCCGTTGCCCAAACTGAAGTATATGCAGTGGGTTTCGAACCAGGGACGTAGCGGCTGAATACTTCAACCATTAAGTACCCACTGGTCCTACATACCAAATGTGTTTAATCATCCCATATTCTTAAAAACTCTATGAAAGGAACAATTTATATTATTTTTAATAATAACTACCACTGAGTAGTAGTATCAGTAATACACTTTCTGTGGTGATCTTTGAGTGATTTATTCTTCTCTATTAATCAACTTCTCTACCGGGTATAGATTCGTGTATCTGACTACTAGTGAAGGTTGGTGATACTATACTTAGTTATCGGAACTGAAGTTAATGAGGCGGGGCTTTAAACTGTGTTTTACTAGTTGAAAATAGAACATTAACTACTGAGGCACCACTCCACGACTTATTCTTTTACAAATAATATCCAGTTTTAAAGTAAATGAATATGTTTATGAAGTGAAATCTTTAATTTTTAAAATGATAATTTATTTGCCACAGTATTAACTTGATATGTATAGCAGTTTAATTATGTCTAAGAGTCAGGCAACATATTGAATAACTGTTTCTTTCTGTCACATAAATTTATGCAACTCATATAAATAAGGAATGAGAGTGATTATTTTATCGCCTGAAATTCAATGTATCAATCTACAAAAGATTTATCATTTGTTTCAAAGGATTTCTATAATGAGTAATGTTCATATGAATCCAATTAAAAGTGTTGAATATTGTTAATAATAGAATAGATGGATTATTAATGATAGGACAAGTGTTTCGTTTTATTTGGAACTCGTCAACTGGATGTACATCTTTTCCAGTGTTGATGTTCACACCGGGACTCAAATCTGTTATTGTTGACTTCAAATACCTAACACTTTATTCATGTAGCTACTGAGTTGACTAAATTTTACAACAAGTGTAATATTGTTATCATTATTAGTAATCATAAAATCTGAATGTAGTAAGTACAATGAAATTTTTAAATTTATTATATTGTTTACAACCTATTATCCTGATGCAAATTACCTAAGTGTTCAATCGTAGTAGGAAGTATCTACAAAATCTTATATTTTTTTTCTAAAGATTTCACAACGTCAACTGGACTAAATCATAATTTTTTTTAAAAAAAGGTTCTGTTTCTTCTTATTGATGAAAGCAATGTTGTTGTTGTTGTTTGTTTGTTTTTTTTAGTCGTAAACTTTCCAATTAAATTAACTGAATCAAATAGGACAACAGTAATCTCTTTCAACCCATCCAATATGAATAATGAAAATAATTTTGATGATAATCAGACTAATGTTCACATGAAAAGAGATGAATACAAGACTAATGAAATCAATGAACAGTAAGTTTATTTCTTTACTTAATAATAATAATAATGACAATATAAAAACTAGACGTAATTTCTGATTAACATTAACAAGAGATTCACGTCAACGGAGGCTAAGGGCATAAATCATCCTACTATGAGCGACTAAGTCGTGGGTTCTTATCCCCTTCACCTACTTCAATTTAGGCAACCGGGTAATATCACTTAGAGTCTAACTCAAAATCAAGTACACTAATCTCCACGTGGTAAATGTGTTAAGCTGATTAATTAAAGTATCATTTCAGAAAGATATCTACAAATGATAATTTGGGCTGTACGTATATGTGTCGAGAAAGAGTGATTTTGATGATTTAAAAGTTTAGATAACAGCTTGATTTAGTAGCTGAAAAAAATTAAAGCAGTACGTCTTAGAATGTGTTTTTTAATGGGATCAGATATAGATCCATTTCATTCTAGTTATTAGTAAAGTTATATATATATATATATATAATTCTACAGATAAATATTGATTTTCTTGGAGAAGGAAACATCGTCCTATAATGTCAGCTTTTTTCGTCTCTCGCAGTAGTCGCTTTCTGTTTGTCACTCTGTATAAACTTTGAACATTACATGTGTGATAACAACGTACCATGATGACGGTTGTGCAGCATCGCGGACTGATTGAAGTTAGAAATATAAACTATTGGATCTGAACTCAGTGGTTTGAATGTTAGGCGCTCAGCTTAATGTCTGAAGGTCCTGAGTTCTATCCTCAGTTGGATCATATATACTGTTCATTGAAATATATTTAGAAATTAATAAATAAAATCGAAAAATATGAAGTATGAGGAGATACTTAACTTGTGACTCAGTAGAAAGCAAAAAACGAATGCACCTGTAATACTCTGATTGATTTCGTACGGAATAGTATTCAACTTTTCTAACCATAGGATACGTGATCATTACTCCTGGACGTCTTTTAATCAACATTGGACACCTGTATAGGTAGTTATTCGGAGACACAAATAACTATTAAAGTGACCGAACTAATAGCTTACTTATAAAATCAATAAAACCATCATCAAGACATACAAAATGTTCTCACAAGTATCAGATAACAATCAAAGAACAAAAGTTAAACATTAAAAACTTCTGTAACTCTACTGATTCACGACTAATGAGTAAAATGATTCACGTCCGACCAACTAGCTTATTTCAACTCAAGGATTGTATAGGTCTGATGGATCTAAATTTTCATCCATCGCCTCCTTAAGGTTTGAAATATCACTTGTTGACAAGTATCGGTAAGCTGAAAACTTACTTCTTGATTCTCCCCCTGGTTATATTTAATCGGTCAGCTTTAAATTGATATAACTTCTGTTGAACAGCTAGCAGCGGTTGAATACTTTGTATGACATGGCTCAGACTTGTTCACAAATGTGTCTTCCTCTCTGTCGCAAATTCCAGTAAACCATCCATAAATACCTTTCTACCCTGTCCTTTCAAACCATATTCTAAAGGTTTGGTTTTTCCTATTATTGGGAATACATTATTTCAATCTCTTTTACGACATTCGTCTTGTTGTGCTGATTCAATGATATGGAAACTGTTCTGTTCTACTCCCAATGTTGATGATGCTTGTCTCTATCTATCCATAATAAGAACAAATAATTAACCAACAATTAGAAAGAAAAAAAGCAATCAAACAACCCAATTTTACATATGTTATACTAATCAAATTGCGCACTACGTTTTATTTGTTTTCAAAAATTTACCAGTTGTTTATTCTGTATAACTTATTTGTATATACATACGTATTATTTTTGTCTCAAGGTTGAAACAGAATCCAATGGTGATAGCATTCAGTGAAGAAATTGATCCTGCTGATAATGAAATATATTATCTTAATAACAATACTATTAGTATTACTAATAATAATCATTCAGAATCACCTACGGGGTCGTATGCAACGTTTACTCCGAGTAGTGATAATGACAATAATGTTTTTAATATTAATGATGATAATTTACATTTCGAAAGTAATAAAAAATTATCCCATGAAATAATGGATGAATTAAAGTTGAAGTTACGCTTAGAACAAGTATGAAAACTGTGTTTTATGATAAAAGTTTTCTGTCTATCTGCTTCATGTATTCAACGTTTGGTTTAGTGACCAACTTTTTTTAAAATTTAGACTAAATTAATGCATTCCAATTAGTGCTAACGAAATAGACAGAACGATATTGATTAGTATCATACTTACATTACATATTGATTATTATCGATAGACACAGTTATTCTATTTTTATTTATTTGAACACATAGATACTGGTACAAAGAGGCACCAAATAAATGTGCGCCACACAAATCTCATTTGATTTGTGTGAGGGCTGTGATACTGCCCGGGTGCCCAAACCGAATCAGGCACAGTGAAATGCTATGTGTAAGGCTAGAATGATTCATGGACATAATTCTTTATCGAAAGAGCTAAATAATGTTCAAATTATTGTACTCGGCTTCGAACCACACTCTAAGTGTGAGGGCTGTTGAACTACTTGGTTACACAGCCTGAAACAGATAGAACGGAGTTCGAACCCTCGACTTGGTGATTGAAAGCCAAATGTCTTAGTATTAAGTCACCACTTCTACTCTCATTAATTTATTAGAACTGAATCATTTTCAGACATCGTTTAGCGTTTGTTTGCTTGATGATCTGCTTTGCTAACTGTTGTCACATTTAGTCATTTGTTTCAGTGGAATCTATTCAATTGATATTTCCACTGCATACATATTTTCAACTTTTATTCAATTGCGCTGATATTATTTTTACCTAATTAAACTTTGAATTATTTATTATCCTTTATGTGTGCTTATACGATGTGTGACAACATATTTTATCGAATTCTGTGATGAATGAGTCAGTCAACCAATCATTTAGCTGAGCGGGCTGTCACACTAACTAGCCACTATTTTTAGTAGCCAATATTATATTATCGTTACTCCTTAGTACTTCTGTCGAATTAAGTCGATCGAGTCACAATGTAGCAATACGGTTAGACATTGCATACACCATGTTTTTGATGTTAAAACTGTAGAAGTAACCTTTAGAAAGGACATCTTTGATCTAAACTCCACATTAATTGGGATTTATCAACAAAGAGTACCTGTAATTTTGATGAAGCTGATGCTGGGAATAGTGTTTTGAACGTGTATCGCGCAGATAGTTTCGTCCACTATTATCCTTCGTCTTTTCTATAATTATGAGTGTTTGAAATGTTGTAATTCTTAGCTATCATAATATTTATATCACCGTTTATCTCTTCTTTTTTGTGATGAAATTAATATCGTAATTTATTTAAAGAAAAATAAAATGCTTCCATGTATTTCCCCTACTTTTCTCACTTATATTCACTTTGATCAAGCCATTTTTTGAACTCTCTTTTTTTGTCGACATGATTCTTCAAATTTTCGATTACACAGTGTCACTCTCATGGGAAAAAAGTTAATTTGGATCATTCAAATCAGTTCAATAGCTCCGAATTAAAAATTGTAGATGGCACGATGAAAAGTTCTGGTCAGTTTTATATATTCGTAAATTACACCTTTTATTTTCTTGTTATACATGTTTACTTTTTAAAAGTCAAATTAGCCTTGTTTATGTATGTGTATGGTATTTGACAATAATTATGTATATATACCGGTGATTTCAACTGGCTTTGTTGTTGTGGTTGCTTCTGAAGACTTCTTGATTCGAAATAAATCACATATGTATAAAGTAGCCTTTATAGAGCTACTGACGGCCCCGAGCCTTCATAAAGAAGGAAGGTTGGGCATGAGGTTAACAACCCCATCCTGTAAAAATTAACCTTGCTAAAAACGCCAGCCAGAAAGCATCATTTGAACCATTTAAACTCTCCACTGGGAGTCGAAGGGCTTTCATATAGAAGAGTTATGACACCTTATTGTGAAAGTCGAAATTCTGCGAACGTCACAAACCTGATGTCTCGAAGCAACCAAATCAACAACTAATATAAGTATATAGAATGTCCAGAAAATCTAGGCCAGACTGGAAGGACCATGGTTATTGCAATTGATAATATTCAGTCCGTGATGATTTTCTTTTCTTAAAACTCGGTTGTTGTACATGAAAGATGGTATAATCTGAGTATTTCTTTTCCTCAATATGAATTAATTTAGTTTCATAACATGTGGTAAGACTTTCGAGTCAAGTCTTTATTGTATCAACCCAGGATCTTCAGTCTCAAGTCGAGCACTTAACCTCTGAACCACTGATTTTTCATCCAGTGGTGTTCATGTCTAACTCCGATCAATCGAAGTGATCAGTTCCCATTGCCCGTGATGGATAACCGTTTTACAAAGACATATTAAATATAGTTCAAATATTAATTCTTTTTTGCTAATTATATCTGTTACAAGTTCAGGTTCCCATCACAAAATAGAACTCAAAATTCTTTTTCATTTTACGTAACAATTATATGAAAAATCTATTTAGATATTTATTGTCTACAAGTGTTTCTTTTCTCATTGGTCATAATAACATGTTAATACTACATATACTCATTACTTACTTTACTATATTTGCTAGTTAATCAGTCATAGCGTATAAGCCGGCACATATATCTATCGGCTCAAGTTCCCACAACATATCAGAACGGCAAGATGAAATAATCAAGATGAGTGTCAATGTAGAAGAACTAGTATAGGCGATTGTAAAAAAGATCAAGCATAGAAGATACTACTTGAAAAGGGCAGAATGAATTCACTAAATGGATTGCATATAATAAAGTTGAAACTCAAGATATAAGGTAAAACAAGGAGTGAATAAATCTACGCTTTTGTGACTGATTTTGAGTCGTATTACCCAACATCTGTAACCATTGACCATGATAATTGACTTTACACCTACCAACAGGCTTCAGATTAATGGAGACAAACTTCATGAACTGATCCAACGTCTCGATTTGGTTGTTTTTAGCTTCATGCCAACCTATTCCTACACCGAAAAACTTCGTGCATCCAGATGGTCTACCATCTTCGCCTAGTACTCTACATCTGACCTCAATATTGCTCATTCGGTAGTCCCAACATACGCATCTAATTGATGATGATTATTTATCAGTTGTCATCGATTTTATTCAATTCTGAACCTTACTGTCCTTAAATTTATTTGGTTAAATTTTATCTTTTCTCTATGCTATTTATTTATTTTTACTTTTCTTCCTTATAAATCACTAGGACAACTGAGAAAATCTGAGTCTAGACAAAATAAGAACACAAACGAAGTAAGTTTATTTCCATATGTACCTGAATAAATCCATATTTTGATATTATTGTCGTCATCATCATTAGATTACTATCTAAACTCAACATTTTTCTGTTTAAGTATTCTTAACTGCTAATCGATTAACTGAAATCAATGATCAAATACTTAAGATAACTGGAAATATTCAATTGTTCCAGTTTTTTTTTATATCCTCTAAATTTAGTGTAATTTTCCTGTTGTCGATTGTTATGCAATTTATAATTTTGCAAAAAGATTTTTGATCATATATTGGTGTAGTTTAACGAACAAATAAAATTAAACTTGGTCACATATACAGATAGATACACTTTTATTTTATTATTTTTTTTTATATTATTATTATAAGCTTTATTCAACATTATATTTTTGGTACAACATAGAATTCTCAGCATAAACTATTTCAACAAGTTTCCTTTTCTTATACCTTGATCTATTGTGACGATAAATGATGAATAATGACCGGTTAGATGTTAGGAGTTCGGTAATCCACATTTGATTAATGTTCATTCGTTTCAATGCATATTGCCAGCCACCATGATGTCGCTGATTGTACCTTTTTGTATCACGTATAGCGAAAGGTTGTAAACTTTTCATAAACGCGCCTGAATAAATTGTGCACACAATAGACATAATGATGTGCTAAAACAAACAACAAAACAGATAACTTGATGAAATATCTAGATCGGAGGAACAGGTAGCCCAGATATTCAAGCAGGCCGCCGTGACTTGTGAATTTTTACTGAAGATATATATATATATATATATATTTCTTACATGGAATATCAAGCTAATAATATGTAATAGCGAGAATAGATAATAATTATTCAAATGTTTTAATAAAGCTTTAGGAAACATTATCTAATCCTTATCATGACTTGTATATATTCTTTGATATTGAGAATTATAGTATTACCTAATACTAACTTGGTACATGATTTGCATTCCATGCATTATTAATGTGATCATCTCCGTTACACTGAGATTTGAAACACATTATTGTAATCCGTCACAAAAAAATACTACAATCATTTTACTGAGCTATATCGTTGGAGGGAAACAACTTTAACGTATTTATCTCACTTGTTAATATCCATCAGCAAAGTTTTCGTGCACTACCACTGACTGAACTGATACCTTCTTAGACCTCGAACCCCGCATCATCTTATGTTTCAGTTATCACTAAGTACCAACTATTTAAGGCACTGACAGAATTTAATCATTAATGAAGTCTGAACATAACACAATATTGGTCATTCATACTCAGTGAATGATTGATACAGTTAATTATCATCATAATAGTAGTTAACTTGACAATCTCAAAGTTGTCGATCACCACGTTATAAAATTATGTTTAACTGACCTTTTCTTTATCTTATGTTCTTCTTCATTAGTGGTTTAGTGTTTAGGGCTATATAGGTTCCTGGTTCGAATCTACATTCAAAAAAGCGTGGATTAAAGTCGATTACATAAACTACTCGTATTCGATAAATGAGTTACATTTTTAACATTCATTAGTGTGATTGAAATTTTTTTGTAATTTTGTTCCGATTTCCCTATAGCAGGAAAGTGTACTTCGTACGAACTTAAAAAACGATAAAGATTTGTCAATATCTAATGAAAATATAATTATACTATCTACAGATGATGATGCCCTGGAAAAATTTCTTGAAGATAGCTAATAAAAACAAAACTCCAAATCGTCTTTCTTTTGTGCTCCTTTAAGTGGAACCCTAACTTTCATCCTTAATCTTTTGTACAAAGAAATTAAATATACCTTTCCTATTCTCACATTGGATGCTCCTATTATTCCTAACGTTATTTATTTAATTTTATTCAAATGATTACAATCCAACAAAATAGTATGCAGAATGAAGTTACTCTGGAATCGATAATATATTTAATTTGATTAAGAATTTCTCCGGAAATTTGTTTGCTATGCTGATCAAAATGATAAACAAGTGCCAACTAGCATGAAACCTAGGTCGTACTCTAGCATTATAGTGATATTACAAGCAGAAACGAAAAATGTTTTCATTCAACCGTTGTATCCCATTAGTTCAAAACAGTAATTAGTGAGAATGTTAGATACTCTCTTATTAAGTTCGAAATATCATGCCGAATATGAAAGCCATGAGATTCGGAAATCTTTCGAGATGTTTGCAAGAATACTGTATCACGTTAACAAAAGTAGTAGCAGACTCGTTCCGATAGCTGATGGTCTCAATTTACGAAGTGAAATTGATTGTCACTAGTAGAAACTTTGGCCCCACTGAAATATAGAGTTTAACAAACATCGGCTGCACGAGTCCACTGATCCTACCTTGACCCCCCTGTCATGATTCTGACCACAATAACACCTGTGTATCACAATATTCATATGGTATTATATGCCTTCACTGAGATCTTGTGTCTGTTAGTTGGGCCTCAATCAAGTTAGCTTCATTAAAAACTTATTCTTGATCCTGTAGTCAGTCGTCATCTGTGCTGATAACAACCATTGACATTGACCAAAGTTGACTACCTCATGCGACTTTATGATCAATGAGTTTACGATAATGATAACTCTCTGCCAACTCAATATGAACCGACCTATCCGTAAAGATCTTTAGCGTGAATAAATTGGCACAGCGAAATCCTTCCAATCTTAAGATAGGAAAACTGTTAATAAACTTTAAAAGACTACTGAACTTTTAGCAAGTCTCATTACATAATACTATCGATTTACATAGGCTCTGCTCATTGGTTGAAAAACGGCTTCAAAATCAAGCAGTCATCTTATGAATTATATAAGTACGTCTCGATACTAGAATAATATACGGAAAACTGGAAAAAATAGAAGATTCTATACAAAATTCATTCGGAGTATAAACAAGAAGTTACCTACCGAGGTTGCATAATTAACTTGAGAACAAATATTGAACAGATTTAATTACATTAGCCAGCTAAGATTGACTAAAATAAATAGGGTTCATTAAGAACGCCTCGTTTGTAATTTCTTTTTAAATCTCAAATAGGAGAGTCCCTTTGTTATTAAAAAAGACAATGACAAAGCATATCTGTACCGAAAATTCACTCAGTTAAAAATTGAAAACTAACTATGGCAAAAATCATCGTTAGATGATGGTTGGCAATAGTCAACAGGAAACCCTATACTATTTAAATTTTGTCAACAAGGTATATCTGCAATCTTGAAGAAACTGGTGCTTTCTGGAGAATTCGATTTCTTGACACTATGCTTCACGGTCGAAGACCACCACTAAGCTGTTCGGATCACGACTAACTTCCTGTAGGACTGAGATATACTTACAATTGATTGGTCACTGAGCATTGACCAGTATCATGAATGCCAAGTCCCTCTAACATTCCAATATAGTGCATGTAGAGTCACTTAAACTAGTAGCTACATCATAACTTGATCGATAAAATTCGATCAGCGTTGAGAAAGACCTGACATCCATGCTATCGGTCAATGCTCAGTCATTAACTAATTGTAAACATACCATAGTAGCTGTAATTTAATCTATTGAAGTCAATCATTACAGCTGTTAACACATATGACATGATGAATAAGAACTTTTTATGCGGGAAAAACTATTTTACTAAGATTACCACCTTTATACTAATTCATTTTCTTTTGAATTAACTAACTCCATTATTTCTGATAAAAGCATTAGTCAACCAACTAATTAGTTCATCTTGTTTTACAGTTGGAAGTTCCATCTATTCTATTACCAGTAAGTTATAGCAGTGGTAGCAGTAATTGATGAACAACAGTACAGAATCAGTAACTTGAAATTAATTCAAAGGTTGTCAGTAAAAATCCTACTTCCGATTCTTGATACATACTACTTACATCTGTCCGTATAAGTAGCACACACTTTGTATCAGAACAATAAGCATAGAGGTATGTAATAGAAGTCAAAATATACACTACAAAAATTTATTGAAGAAAAAAGGCAATTAAATAAAATGAGACAAATTCCACATGCTGTCGTTTTGTTATTGTTGTTCAAAGTCGTTTTTTTTAGAAAGAAAATCATCCAAAGTATTTTGTTTTATTCCTTATTACCATTTTCTTTTTAGTGAATATTTGTTCTGTTTTGTTTTAATTGGGATTCGAAAGAAAAGTGTGTTTATCAGAGACAGTGAGAGAGTAATATTATAATGTAAATCAAAACAGTACGGGAAAGAATAAACACCGACAGTCTCAACGGAACAAAATATCGCATTGTCTTCACAGAAATTCATGTATATACGTGTGAATTTTTTAGTACAGGTTTACTACCGATTGATCAGTTAGTTATGTAATTTTCTAGATTGATAATAAATGAATAGAGAAATAAAAAGATGAACACACGCAGAGCACAAAGAAAGTTGTTTGTTTGTTTATTTTTATTGTAGTTTGTAATTTCATCATCCATATATGCAATCAATTAAATAGTGGATGAGAACATAACAATATCGTCCATGCAATAACAAAACCTTATTCATGTGTGTAATGATCGATTACATAGAAGGAATAGTGAGAAAAATCGGTCAGGTTTTATCAAAGAAAAAAGGGAGGAAAGAGAGAGATGGTGCCGAAGACAAGAAAACTAACAAACAGACATATATATATATATATATATATATATCAAATAAAAAATAAATGGTTTATTTCATCAATAAAAAAAATCAGAAGATTAAGGCACACAATACACTTTTTTGTGATTTAGTGATTCCTGACCAAGGAAACCAATTTATTTATTGAGTGTAGACAAAAAGATGGTGTGACGACAACTAACAATAACAATGAATGTATCCAACTCCGTGTTCAGGGTATACAAACGAAAAATAACTGCACATATTGCCGCCAATAACCACATAGATGTTTAAATTTCTTCTTCAAACAATCGTTGCCTAGTATTGGACAATCCACTTTGCGCAATCTTTATTCGTTATGAAAATGCAATCAAAAAGAGAGAGAATTAGCAAGTAGAAAATCCAATCTTTGTATTCACTAACAACAAAATATTAGTTAACTTTACTAAATCCATCTTTGTAAGTTAAAAGTAAGTAATAATTTGAATGTAATTTTTATTGCACACAAAATATTGACATTACCTATAGTACTGTTGAGATAAAGCTCAGGTAGTAAGTAGTAGTAGTTCAGGACGTTATTGACTAATCCTAGAACAAAAACTTACAGTATTTGCTTACAGATAAATTTTTCGATGTTCTGATGAAAAGCCATGATTTTATAGATGGTCAACTTAGTGGATAATTAGATAACTGCATTTCTTAAGATGTTAAATGGAAATTATGGTATATCACAGAACAATAAAACTGTAAAATGTGAAGTCATTTGGGTTCCAATACAATATCCTTACTGGTCCACTGAGTTGGATATGGCAATTGAAGATTACTGCTGTGATCTCATGTGTAGAGGTCGATGTGTGATGATGCACCACTGATGTAGAAGTCGCGGAGACTATGACAACGCTTGTTATCTTCAATGATTATTCCATCTTGACGTACGTACGAAGTTCTACGTTGTTACTGACTGACTGACCATCTTGATATCTGTTAGTTAATGATGAGAACTATCCTTGAGGTGCATAAAATTTTCACAAAACCACAAAATTTGCTTATTTATACCAAAAATGAATTCTAAAAAGAATAAAACTAACTAAGCACATTACATATAAAACTGATTAAAAAAAGATATATGAATGACTGCCAAAGTCAAGTAGAATAGCTTCTTCGCACAAAATAAAAAATAAATGAATGCCGGTGGTTACTAATGATGAATGTAAAAATGGAAGTTCATTCAAAAGTGATTAAAAACAAGGCAAAATACAACTGGATTCCATAATTTAACCTGAAACCGTTACATTAAAACATGAAGGAGAGGGAGACAAGGTGGAATTCATGAATTCTACGGATGAAACATAAAGCAATGAGAGCCCACATACACAAATACATCAACTCCCCTTCGAAGAAAAGACCCATGAAACTAAGACCAATCATATATATATATATATATATATATATATATATATATATATATATATATATATATATATATATATATATATATATATATAATTTGCGCACAGAAAAAGTGTATCTCTTTGCCTAGGTCATGAATCATTAAATCTAATACCATTATCTAACTTTGTCTACGATTACTGATACTGTCATTACTTCCACTACACTGAGATTTACCTAGATAATTTCATCTCTCTCTCTACGAACATAGTTTGGCAATACATATATACGTGTCAGATTCTATGTTGCATATGACTGATTGATTTCAGATAGTTTATTAAGCTATAGAAATCCAAGGAAAATTGAAGAACAAATAAACACTTTTCAAAATAATTTGATATTAATATAATATGACTACACTAATATGAAATGGGTATTAACTGATCAGTAACATTCTTTTACGTTATTTATCGAGAAATTTCCTTTCATTATCACAGAATTAATAAAGCATAAAAATCAATTTTAATTCTTAATTCGATAAAATCACACATGTTGATTGACATGAGTAAAATGTTTCAATAAAAAAAAACAGAAAAATTAAACTTACAAATTCATTTGCTTTGGAAATCAAATAATCACATGCTTGATCAACATTTTCTGGTGCACCCGTTACTAATACTGTATTACCGTCTCCATTGGCGCTATTGATATTTCGTCTACTAGGGAATTCAATGCGTACATTGTAGTCTCGCATGACTTTCTGAATAGCATTACCTCTAGCACCGATCAGTCGAGCATGTGTCTAAATGTTAAAAATAGATTTTTTTTAAAAAAAGGATATACGCAAATAAAATTTTCATTACTTTGTAGCATTCCAAATTTACAATATTAGGTAGTTGGAGGTAGCCGACAAGGAACCCTGAACCTAGGATTTTAGTGTTAATCGACACTTGCAATCTTGAGGGAACTGGTGCTCCTTGGCGGATTCGACCGTGTAAAACATGACCTTTGAAAGTAGAAGTCATGCGTAAGCGACAGGTTTCTGAATGCAGGTGTCTTTGAAGTGAGTAATGTTGATGTTAGGTGAAGAGTACTAGGAAAAAGTGATAAATTAGTTGGCGAGTTGATGAATCTTCATCGAATGAGGTAGTTAGGACATGTGTTACGTAAGCCTAGTCACCGTGTAACTCGACAGACAACGTCTGCTGATGTGGGAATAGGTTCAAAGAAAGATAGGGATGACCAAACTCAGACATGTTATCAGTCCATGCAGATACTGACTGTTAAACTGATCAGTTGATATGACAAGATCAGTCAGTCAGTCAGCTACAAGATAATAATATGATATCATTAACATTAATAATTCTTGAATCAATTTAGTACAAACTTTGTTCAACATGATAAATATGAACTAAAGTTCTAGGTGATAACTGCTCAAAATCATATTCGTTTTATTTTCAGTGTGATTTCCAGCCAATATGATAGTTTTCGTATAAAATTAACGTGAACTATACTAAGCACAATAAACAAAATGTGGTTTTGTTCTAATTCTGGTATTTTGCATAGATGTGACATTTTCTAATTAATAATCAAGTGGATATAAAACTCGATATATAAACGGGTGTATTTTCGGCTAGGGTTATTGTGCTTTTCAGTGAATACATTTTCACTTGTACCAGAATTTTGTGTTTTTACTTCATGTAAAAACAACATAACAGTTGAAAATCGCGGATATAACAGTTGCATAGGTTAGTTTAAACTACCTGATTGAAGTAGTCCCCATAATAACCGCGATCAGTCTCTGTTGACTTTGAGTGATATAGTTCAGGACCGCTCACAATGACGTAGATGCGTACATCTTCCTCTCGACCTCAAACTCCAATATCCCTTTATACTTTCCCACCATGTCTTATCGAACCATATTCTTACGGCTTAGTTTTCTTTAATTGTCATCTCTATCACAACATTCCAATCTCTTCTGTAATACAATAGATTACTTTCATCTCATCATGCTAATGCGGTATGGCAATCTGGACCTAAGCACATCTGTGTCTAGCTCGACATTAATCATAACTGACCGAATAAGCTGCTAATAATCAGTTTCTATAGTTGTTATTCATGTCGGGTTGCTTATTTTCAACATCTATTTATTATTACTTTACAGGTACAAGTGAAAATATGTTACCCTGAGATTTTTTATATGGAACTAATGGATATCACTAACAATAAACTATCCATATAAAATTATAGATGGTGTTAGGAGATTCGGACGTGTAACTAAAAGGTTTATAAGTACCTGATCCCTTCTTAACAATAATACGCTTGGAAATTTTAATATTCTAACATCAGACAGCAATCACCAAAAAACTTTTTATATAACACACAAATATTTACCTCTACAGGAATGAATAAATTCTCAGTGACTTCAGCTAATAATTTGTTAATAGTATTCTCGAGTTCAATTTTCGCTGCAGATACATTTTCCTGATAACCACGTAGAATAATTTTTGCTTGTTTCTCTTTAGGTAATCCTGTCGACGATAATTCATCACTCTCATTATCATTATTGCTATTGTCTTCTACTATAGGCTTTGAAATACTACAGAAAGTAATATCATCGCTGATGTCAGTAGTATTGTTGTCAACTGATGAATGTTCTGGCATTGACGACAATGATGGTGGTAATGTTTTTAGAACTACTGAACTACTACTATTACTACTACTACTACCAGTGTCTACACGAATACCAACATCATGTTTAGAGCAGAGATCAGCTCTCATGCTAAGAATACTTGATAAGAACCTAAAGGGAAATTCTACAACTGTTTCATAACTTCGTGCAATTTTATCCGCTTTTATTAGTTCACATTGTTGTAACCATTCGGTTAGATCAGCTTTAGCTGCTTCTATATTCGCTGGTGTACCACGTAAAGAAATGTAGTCGGAACCAGAAGTATGTTGAGGTGGCAGACGTATATTAACCTATAAGAAAATAAAAACATTAAGATAACTGAATCTATAAATACTAATTATTTGTTTGAATATGTCAACATTAGAATGTATAAAGACGACCGTGGCGAATATCTACACGTTTACATTAAAGCAATACAATTTTTATCATAACTTACTGGAAAATATTCTTTGAAATTACTTAGCATTCCCTTATAAAAATATCTTCGAAATTCAATGGATTATATACTATAAGATAATAATGAGAATTATCTACAGATTGGGATCAATGCTCGTTGATACTACTAACAATGTGTGTAAGTAGTTTCTCATGGCGATATGCAATTTTTAATCTACCTACAATTCCACTATACAACTTACAATAAACAGGCTGATTAAAATGACGCATTTAAACAAAAATGAAAATCGTCTAACACCTAATTACTAAATTTTTTGATCAATTTGAATGGAAGAATCTGATCACACTCATTCAACCGTGTACTTCATTTATATTATATGATGGGACAAGAAGAACTACAGATGATGAGTTTAAGATCTTCATATTTGAACTATTTATTCAATCGTTTACTTAACCTGATAAAGTGAATAATGTAAATAGTCACAACACTTTGACTGAATATTTCTTGTACAAAAATTTAAATCATTTATAGAGTATTCAATATGTTGGGCACTGGTTCTGTTTCTCAATGATCACTCAGTCGAAAACCAATCATTTGATCAGTCAACAATTTATCAGGTCGATAACCTCAGACATTTTATTTGTGCTATCATAAAAGAATGAACGTTAGAAAATTAGAATGAGTCATTTTTTTAGGTGGTTAGAAAAGATCAACACGAAACCCTGAATCTAAGATTTGTGTTAGTTAACACACACGGAAGTAAACAGCACCTGAAAACTTCAGAAAACGAAGACTTCCCCTGATATTCAAACACTCGTTGTCACAACCGTATTGTAGCTGACCTAAGTTCAGATCATCCTAGCTACCAAAAATAAACATGCTGAATATAGTATCAAGTCAATTAGACTAGCAGCCACAGTTCAACTTGATCGATAGAATACAATCAATATCGAAGACTGATATGACGAGATAAAACGATGACATTATTTAAATTTATATTTTTTGTATAAATTCTTTATGAACTTTTTTCAGTGTGACGTTCTAAGGTTAACATTTCTTGTATCAATTCAATGTGAACTTCGTTCAATGCGACAAGTGTGAACTTTCGTTCAGTGTGACAACTATGTTCTCCATATTAATTCAGTGTGACTTTTTCTAAAACAGTAACTCTATGTATTTCCCATTATATGTGATATTATTAAGTATGTGTTCTTAACGAACCAATAAATTTCCATTATACTAGTCTTTTATGTTTTCACTTTGCCTCATGAGAATTGAGGTGGTTCCCGATTGTCAAATAAAAGCAGCAAAATTGTGGACATAAAAAGATTCGACACGTACATTAAGAGAGGCAACGCAGAAATAACAAAGACTAAGCAAATATAATAATGAATTATTCAGTAATTCATACACTTAAGATTTAATAAAGATTAAACATACAGAATGCTTTTGTTTAATTTCCATAGCTTTAGATAAAGTTTCTGCAGTTGTATTTGTCACTTGTTCAGACACATTATTATTCCGTTTATTACTATTACTATTATTATTGCCACGCAATGAACGACGTGACTGCTCACGTGTTGTTGTATCTGATGAAGTAACTATTAAATTACGATGAAATTCCTGAGGAACTGGGAATGTTTCCTCAATTGGTAGGAGAGGTTTTATGCCTTCTTCAAATACCTGATTAATACGTTCTTGTACGCCTGTTATCACAAGAATGCCAGAAACAGAGTGGAACTCTGATAAAAGAATCAAATAAAGAAAAAAGAAGTAATTAAAATGAGAACAATCAATTACTTCGATTGATGGTCGATTGGTGTATAATAGTGTGAAAACTTTGCATAAAACCAAAAAATATTACGTACTTTATAAATTTATTACTTGGACTATTATCAACTCATCAACCAGGGTACAGATAATTCTCAAGTGACAAGACTGGATCAGGCGGAGTAAGGCTCGAACCCTAAATTAAATAACTGAAAATTGAGATCTTTAACCACTGAGATACAGCTTAAAATAACTATGTTCATATGATGAATAGAAAAGAAATTTCCTAATTAAGATAAATGAATTAGAAATGAAATAATCAAGTCGTTCGTTTTCGGATATATCAATTCGAACTACATCCTGAAGTTGTTTGAAAAGCTACAAAATGAGAGCTCTATGAGTGAATCATTCAAATTGGAGAACGTAAAACCTCTAGACGCGTTCCTAATCTCATCCTCACACTATTTAAAGACGTTTTAAGCGTTCTATAATTTATACTTTTACAACATTCTTGATGATCGAACCACACGATAAACACTAAACAGTAAGTTGATAGTTATGTTTAAGCTTGTGAGTCACTAATGCCATATATATATAATCAGTTATGTACTGATAACACATCAATAACAAAATCATCAGTGTAGGGAGATTTGTTGAAGTTTTTAAATTATGAACTATACATATGAATTAAACAATCATTGAAAATGAAAGAAGCATTAGGCAACTTTTCCATTTTAGTATGAAACGTCTCAGTAGTGCACAATCATGACCCTCAAAAGAAGTCGAATACGAGACTTTAGGGTTTCTTAGCAAGTAATTAACGTTGGGCCTGAGTTAGCATACAATAGCTTACATCGTTTAGCTTTGAGTAATTTGCGATAATGCACAACCATCGTAATTATGGATGTATATCACTACGAGAAAAGTTTTATTGTTTCGTAAGAGTAATAACTACAAAAGTGAATTCAGGAAAAATGATAAATTTGTAATAATATCCAATGCAAGTGTGTCAGTCAGTATTAGAAACGTAGAGCTTGACACATTTCTGCATCGGTTCAAGTTTTCATACCATATTAGCACGAGATAAAGCTATTAAGAAAAATCCAAGAGTTGACAGAGTAGTAACAGAATCTCTTAGCAGTGGTACTATAAGTGGAAGTAAAAAGGTAAACAGATATTTCGGGACTTAGATTCTAAAAAAATAAAGAGTGAATGAACCTTATTTATATATTTATTTAGGCACATAAATATTGGTACAAAGGGACACCAAATACATATGCGCCACACAACAACACTGAGAATATGAAGAGATAGACAATGTAAGGTGTGCATAAGAAAAAAAGGTGGACAATAACCAACATAAATTAGCGTATGAGTGAAATAATAATAATATTGAAAGAAGCAGTTCAATAAACAAAGTTACAACCAGAAAGAATTCTCCCAGTCAAAGAAGTTACGTCCATTTTTTATGAAGAAAGTAAAATAAAGTTACAGCAGGATCGCCACTGGCTTATATTCTGAGCCATATCTGATAACGTCTCTAGCTACTGTGTTGCACCATCTTTAGGACCCCAACTAGGGAATCGTGAAGGATCAATAGAACCAAGTCCGGTACAGCTTTCTTTCATACCATGATAACATGTCAAACACTGATCACCTCTCCACTTTTTCCAACCAGCCCCAGAGTCGGCAAATAATGCACGACGTGGAATTCTCTGGGACGACATTCGGAGAACATGTCCAAGCCACCGAAGTCGGTGTTTCAAGATGGTGACACCAATTGAATTATCGTTTCTGAGCCCGGACACACGATGCCGAACCTCTACCACTGGATGGCAGTAATCCTTCAGAGACAACGATGATCAAACATGGAGAGTCTTCTAACATCTTCAACTCGGAGAGGCCAGGTTTCACAAGCATAGAGCAAAACTGCTCTCACCAACGCGTTGTAGATCCGACCTTTTACAGCCAGACTAACATCACGAAGGTGTCAAAGATGACCCAGATTGGCATAAGCCGCTCTGGCTTTCACTATACGTGCATTGATCACATCACTCACTCCACCACCAGCACTCATGCAGCTACCCAGATACACGAACTTTGCACTTCGAAGGTGCAAAGCACATAACATAACTACGGACACTATTTGCCAACTGATTAAGTGCGGATTGCATGGCTTGGGCATTATCGCACAGTAAGACAATATCATCCGCATACTCAAGGTCGAGAAGTCTTTCTCCAGGCAACAGATCCACACCACCATTACTTACATTCATCAGAGCTGTTTCCAGAATGTCATCGATGGCAAAGTTGGAGAGGAATGGTGAGATTGGGCAACCCTACCTAACCCCACTGCTCGAATGGAACAATGGAGAGAGGTGGTTGTATGCCCTCACTCTGCCTGAGGTGTTTTTATACAGGGCTTTTGGGATGTTAATAAACTTCTCAGGCACACCCTTCTTCAATAGACAATCCCAGAGAACAGCACTGTCCAACGAATCGAAGGCAGCCCTGATGTCAAGAAACACTACGATTGCTGGCATTTGATAAGCATGGCGGTGTTCTAACATTTGGCGGAGGGTGAAGATATGATCAATACACTCTCGATCAGAAAGAAAACCCGCCTGCTCCCCGCGAGTCAATCTTTCTCGGGTTTTGAACAACCTACGAAGTATGACGGAAGTCAATAGCTTGGACGCAATGGCAAGTAGACTTATCCCCCGAACTCATGTCAAGTATTGGTTTGACCACCTATAACTTCTTTCCAACTTCTGTAAAGTAAATGTATGACATATACTGATATGCACGTCATACGAGGAATACAACTACATAAGCTGTAACTACTTGAACATGTTGCAGTAATCAATAGACAATGGAAATACACTAAACAAATTTGGTATTTATTTCTTTATTTAAGAAATATTAAGTAACCCAACAAACAATGACTGATTCATGAACTCAACTCTGAGACGCAACTGTTCAAATTAAAATAGATGAGAAACAATTTGAACTTATAATTCATTGTTTTAAATCCAATTGATAATTGATTATGACTATTTATTATTTCTACTACTTCAGATTGCTTAATTTAGCATCACACTTATTTGTAATTTTATCTAAGAAGAATTGTAATATGTTGAGTGTATAAAATTAACAGATAGAAAACTTTGTTTGAGCTAGGTTTCGAAATAGTTGTCATCTTTAGGGAACTAATGTTCTTTGTGAGATGCGAACTCGCATCACCATCCACTCCAACACGCTGAGATATAACCCTCTGGACTATTTAGACAGAGACTGAACTCCTGTAGGACTGAGGAATTTACAACTGACTAATCAACAAGTAGTGGTCAAAGTCATGCTTACCTTTTCCTTAGTGCTAATCGAATTCTGTTGATCCAGTTGCAACTCGAGCAGCACTAATTACTAGGAAAACATGACAATGGTCATTACTTGGTGACCATCCAATGTGGAATTAAACTAGTATTGAACCTAGTATTCTTTTTAATAATCAAATGGTTATGTTGACACAGAGAAGAAAAGACAGTGAAAGATCGAGGCATTATTATTATTATTATTATTATTATTATTATTATTATTATTATTATTATTATTATTATTATTATTATTATTATTATTATTATTATTATTATTATTACTTATAGAGGGTTTCACTTAAGAAGAAAAGAAAAACGAATTAGAACAAAATTACAAATTATAAACATTTACCTGATTGATTAACTGATCTCTCATCAAATGTTGAATAACTATCGAAGTCAGAATTATCAAATGAACGACTAAATCTAATCTGCACTCTATATAATCGTTCGAGTTCCGGCAGATGCGAACGATTACGTTCCAATACAGAAATATGACTAGGATCAGTGAAAGGAAATTCTTGAACTATTTGTTCTTGCATATCTTTGATAATTTGTTGCAAAATTTGAGCTGCAGTCTTTTATTTTATTAATTAGAAAAGAAAATATCGATAAATATATATTTACATTTATTTGGACAAGAGTTGATACATAAATCAGTTAGTCAATCATAAGAAACGTTAGACCTAGGATGTATGTGGCGATGTATGTGACTCCATATCAATATGGCGAAATGAAATTATCAAGACAAATGTCAGAGTAGTATTAGGGACATAATAAATGCACTATGAAGTATATTATGTTTAAGCATCGTATGCATCCGATACTAAATATTCAATAAATTACAAGGTGATAATACGATCGAAGCTTTACTTCAAAGTTTGCGAAAATTCTAAAGACAACTAATATAGCTTAAAAATAAGTCATTAGTGTCAAAAGTAACGGATCGCTTAGAGGAATCGATACCAAAGATAAGAAAAATAACTCTTAATCGACCTGTTTGTTATTAAATTTAATAGCAAGTAAATGAAAATTTACTCCAATATCCTTTTTCCCCACCCTTCCTACACCTTACTTGTTTATCCAGCTGATGGGACAAAAAATAAAGTTGAACGTTCGCGTGTGAGACCGAAGGTCCTGGGTTTGATTTCTTGGGTCAGGGTTGTGGATGTGCTCTGATGACGAGCCTTACACTTAATATAATTACCTCAATTGAATATAAAGTGAAAAAGAGAGAGTACTGTTGCAAAACTAACTAAATTAATCTACTCACTGTCAACAATAATTTATATATATAATAAGTTTAGTAATCCGTAGAGAATTACGAGCAACTAAAATTATTTATTTATATAGACGCATGAACGTTGACACAAAGAAGAACCAAAACAAATACGCTCTACATAAATCACTGAATCTGTATGTGGGTTGGGATACTGACTGGATGTCAGAAAAGAAACAGGTAGTTTCCTTGGAGGGCCATTCCTCGAGCATTGACCTGGAGGTCTAATCCATAAGGCAGTGGAGCAATGTTAGAAGATGCAGTCCCACGGTAGACAGTGACCAAGAATAGGTTCACTTGTTCCCTCAGGATCATTGAGTGCATTGGTTTGGAATCAGGGCTTCAGCTATCCTAGGTTGTTCCTCCATACCCACGCACCCGGTCTAAACGCCAGATATTCATTTTTCGTTTTCTTGATTTCGTAAACAATACCCCCACCGCGAGAAGGTACTCTGGAGGACTTCCCTGGCAATCACTATAAACGTGTGGCCATATAAAAGGAGGGGACTATAGTCGATATCATCCAAACCGGGGCATTTCGGGGCCTGTCTTACACTAGGATGAGACGTCCGTTTAGTGTTTCCAAGTTTTTAACTAAGATCAGTCCGTGATATAAACTACAAAAAATAATGATTGTAAAAGCAATATATAACTGGTTGTGAACTGTTCAGCATGTTCGAATATAAAAAATTTGTTGTAAATTATTATTGTTGGAAAAAAGACCTACAATATATGAACTAGAAATAAGACATTAAAGAGAAAGAACTTATTTGTAAAATCTCTGAGGTTTTACAAATAAATTCTTACTCTTTAATGTCTCAGATTAACTCGGCGCCCAAATACTGTGAAACTATTCGATCATATTTAGACGAAAGTTCTTATTTAAAAATAAGAGTTGTACGGTGTGATACACATTTAAATAATACACACACACAAACATACTTCAACACAAGCTTTAGAGCCAATTAATTTAATGTACAAAGGTTCAGTGGAATGTTCAGTTGAATTTTCCGGATTGGATTGTATATGATTATTGTAACGGGGCATTATTACACGGACAGTTTCTAAATCGGGATTGGGGAAATTACGACGATACTGGTTAATTCCTTTCAGTATAGATGGATCAACTGGAATTGATTTTTCCACTTCATCTTCCTATAAAAAAGATACGGAAATGAAATAGTACACAATGATATAGTAATTTAAAAGGTTTGGTTCCACATTAAACGTGTTTGAACATGCCCGTGAGCATTGAATGCTTTGCATAAAGCGGTAGTTAATTGCATGGGGATTCGATTTACAACCAATAAGTCTCAGATCCAAACTTCATGCCACCTACTACGTTTTGTGCAACTGGTAAGTCTGAATAGCTTCTACACTTTGATTGTGGCTCAAAATCAAGTACAAAAACTCGTAAATGAGATTATCTAATTTAGGTTATTCAGAGCTTGATTAGGTCAGTGGTAGCATTTCTCTGCCCCTGAAATTGAGTTTAAATGCTATCACATGTTAAGCCGTATACAGTCAGTAACTGATTTTACTTTTCCCGGGAAGAACTAAATCTCCGGAGAGGAGACTGAATAAGAGTGCGACCATGTCTATTATTCAATCTTCAATATCTTCCATACTGGAGTTATGAAAAAAGAGCTGATAGAATTCCCATACCCATTAATTACAATTAAAGAAATTTAATGGAAATTTCACAATACAGACTAAAGTTTCTAATGTATAATTGATTTCATGTAATGCAGTTTACAATGATAACCCACCTAAGTATGAAATAAGACAAATGATAGTAATTTTGAAACTGTAACGACCAAGTGTAGTAGTGGTATAAGAGATATTCAATCCTATCATCGGATAAAAGATGAGAGATAATACGATAATTGACAATACATTTATTTTATTTTATTTAACACATAGATATTGGTACAAGAGGGTACCAGATACATATGCGCCACATAAATCTCATTTGATATGTGTGAGGGCTGTGATACTGCTCGGATGCCCAAACCAGGAGCCTTCGACCTGAACGTCTGATCACAAGGCAGTGGAGCATTTTAAGGAGATGCAGTCCCATGGTAGCCGGTGACCAACGATTGGTTCATACGCCATTTGTTTCCTTAGGATCCTGGAACCCATGTGCACCATTGGTTTGGAATCAGGGTTTTCCAACTCCCCTCGGTGGACTCTCCGTGTCCACCAACCCGGTTAAAGCGCCGGACATTCGCTTTACATTCTCTCAATTTCGTAAACAACACCCCCGCCACGAGAAGGCAATGAGTAGGACTTCCCTGACAGAGGCTATATACGCGTGGCCATGTGAGAGCATTTAGAGAGGAAGAGCGGACTCTCCACACTCTCGACCGTACCAGGGCATTTGAGGTCAATGGAGACATACAATCAGGCACGAGATCGCTAGATCGGTCCTTGATCGATACACTAGGCAATAGAATACCATAAGTGATTATGTGAACTCAGATATACAGGGTCCAACCAATGACTGAGAAACAGATTATCAGCCAGACCAACAGTTTAATGAAATCAATTACAAGCGGTCAACACAAAGTAAATCTACACTAAAAGTAACAGTCTGCAAGATTTACGACAGCAGAATGTGTAGACCTTCACACTTTGACCAATCACATCAGATTTTCTCAAACATAAGGAGGATCTAAAAACAGAAAACGGTTTATCTCTACAATTCATTTCATAATAATAACCACTTATAAAAGCAACAAAGTGATTCTCGTAAGAAAAAACATTAGTATTCACAATAAATGCAGATGAAAATCGATATTAGTGTATAATTACCAAAGATTTTAAAACATTTTCTAATTCACGTTTCGCTTCCGACACCGCAGATTTCGTACCAACAATTCGGATTTCACAAGCCAATTTTGGGTCAGATTCAAAACGATCAGGGAACACCAATTCAACATTATGACGGCGACGAAACTGCGTTATATTCGATGCGTGTCGGCCTATAAGAACACCATGAAACTTAGGATTGGCATGAACAATTTC